CATGTGGCAGGGCTTTGTGGCTGTGGATTCGTGGTCTCAGGTCCGGCTCCCTGGGCTCCGAGGGGCAGGTGCGTGCCCCTCAGTGCATCTGGCTTAACTTGCCTACCTTCATGCCACAACTGCGATGCCAGCATGAACGGTCCCGCCTTCCAGGTGTGTGTGGATGACAGGAGGCATTGGACCTCCTCTCTGCATGCATCCCTACGCCCCACCCAGCCGAGGGATCAGACGCTGCAGCTAGAAGGTTGGGAGGTGCCTTCTCTCCGTGGCTACCTATAGGTTTTCCCTCCAATCAGCTGTAAGCGGGGAGGAGGGCTCTCCTTTTTTTTTTTTTTTTTTTTAAATATTTACTTATATTTGAGAGATAGAGACAGTGTGAACGGGGTAGGGGCAGACAGAGAGGGAGACAGAATCCGAAGCAGGCTCCAAGCTCTCAGCCATCAGTGCTGAGCCTGATGTGGGGCTCGAACTCACAAACCTCGAGATCATGACCTGAGCCAGAGTCAGACACTCAACTACCTGAGCCACCCAGGCGCCCCAGGGCTCTCCTTTTAAATGATGTTCGGGGTGTTTACAGTTATGCTGGGCTGGACACCTTTATTACTGAAAATAGAGTAACTTGTAAGTGACTGAGGACATTTTCTCATCTGAAAGCGGGTGGGTTAGAAACAGGGTGTGCCTGGGGCTTCATCCAGGGCCACAGAGGGGCTGGGCCCCTGTGTGCACTGAGACAGGAGTTGGGGGCAGTGAATGGATTCTCAGACTGTACCCTGTTCGTCCAGGTTGCACAGAGGACAGAGAATTTGCAGGGTAAATTCTGTTAACAGCCTGCCTGCGATCAATGGTGACGTGCACATGGCCTCCGACCCGCCTCCAAGCTGTTAGACTGTGCGTTCCTGAAATAGATTGGCTGGCTGGGGAGGTCTGTGAGTGTCCCGTTCTCCTAGGATGCGGCCAGTCTGCCCCCCGGAGGCTGTGCCCAAGTGCTTCTTACCCATGTGCAGGGCTTTCTTACAGTGTCTCAGGCTCAAACCTTTGGTTGTGAAGCGGCATGTTAGCATAGGCTTTAATTTATAATCTTATTTTGAGTAAAGCCCAGCCAAGAATTTGTTCATATTTCCAAGAGCCATTTGTATGTCCTTTGTTGTGAACTCTGTTTGTATCTTTTAACATTTTGCATTGGGGCTTTGATATTTTCCTTATTAAGTTATATTAAGATAATTAACTTGTTGACTAGGAAATGCTATAGTTATTTTTCTTCTGCCTAAGATTTTATTTTTATGCTCTGGAGTGGGTCAATATTTTCTTTTATGTTCTAGATTTTGTATCATCCTTCCACTCAAAGCTAACATAAAAAAATTCCTCCTGGATTTCTTTCTTTCTTTCTTTCTTTCTTTCTTTCTTTCTTTCTTTCTTTCTTTCTTTCTTTCTTTCTTTCTTTCTTTCTTCTCTTTCTCTCTTTCTCTCTTTCTCTCTTTCTTTCTGTCCCTCTTTTTCTTTCTCTCTTTCTCCTTCCTTCCTTCCTTCCTTCCTTCCTTCCTTCCTTCCTTTCTCTCTCTCTCTCTCTCTCTTTCTTTTTTAGTACTTTTATGGTTTCATTACCATGAAATTAAGTTTGCAGTCCATTTAGGATTTATTTGCATGTAAGGCACAAGATAGAAACCCAGTGTGATTTTTCCTGGATAGCTGCCCGGACACTGACACACCACTTGTAGGTGATTCTGTCCCCCTTGGGTATTGTATCACCATATTTGTCACCTCAGGGGAGGAAAACACTTTTTCACTCTGCCCTCCTGTGCTCTCTGGCTAGGGCTCTGCAAATAAGGTAGACAAAAGACAGACTGACAGGAGAAAAGCAGGTGGTGGATGTATGCAGCACACATGCAGGCAGGGAAACTTAGCGATGAGTATCTCAAAGAAGTGGTTAGAACTTGGGCTTATCTCGCGTCTTACCAAAGAACAAGAAATCCACAGGGGGGTGGGTGCAGTGGGGGGAGTCGGCGGGAGGGGAGCCGGCTGCAGCCGTGTTCCCGTGCCGCGTCTCATCTCGGGGCAGCTGTGGTGCATAGACCGGGGCGCGGGCTGTTGGGGCAGATCGCTCTCCTGCTCTTAGGCAAGTGGGGGAGGGCAGAGCCTCTTCTCAAGCCCCCTTTCTCCATTGCCTTTAGCTCCGAGCACTGCGTCTGCCACGGGGCCTGTGAGGGGTGGTGTCTTGGGCTGCGCTTCACCTTGTATGTCTCTCCTTTTTGGCTCTTCATGAAATGGATGGCACTTTGTCATTCTGTGTGTTTATCTGTTGCCCCTCCTTCTGCTGGAACATAAACCCCTGGCGGCAAACATCATCGCTTGGGACACCTGCTGTTTATTGTTTCAATCTGTGAAATGTGTGTGTGCTTGGGGGGGTGGAGTGCGCAGGGTGAGATGGCTGAGTGGGGACAGAGTGGGGCTACGTGATTCCATAGGACCCCGTTCTCAAATCCTGCCCCTCAGCATGACAGGAGCTGGCTCTCATGATGAGAACTTCATACTGAATGGGGGGGATGGTGGGACCGGGACGGAGTGAGGCCCAGTTACCCCCAGGTGACCGGGGGGATGCCAGGGGGTCCATGTACCCTTAGCTGAGCTCTCTGGCTCACCCCAGGGGGTTGTGCTGGACAGGTGTTGAGGAGCAGTCTCTGGTATGAAAACGAGAGCATCGCCACCTGAGATTGACATGGGGACTCAGTGGAATTGCAGAGACAAAATCAGTTTTGCTAACAGTGAAAAGTTGAGACAGTACCGCTCACCCAAACGTGCTGTTAGACGGTAAGGAGGGATGATGGGAAGGCTTACCTTTGCAGTCAGATGGCGGAGTTACGGTTACTCATGTATCAGACGGTGGGGTTACAGTTCCTGGTATCAGCACCAGGCATCTCAGTGCGGCAGTAACTACGTTCCGTCACCTTCCTGTGTCAAAGGGAAGAAGACGCCATCAGCCCAGGCGCGGTGAGAATTCACACGCACACAGGTTATCACAGGTGCATTAGCAGCAAATTCATGGGCAGAGGACATTTTTTCTGAGGAGCAGCTTGACTTACAACTGTGTTGGGGGATTGTAAAGCTCACACAGGGGATTGTTAGGACTTTTCTGGGTGCTGGAACTCAGAGACATTCCTGGAATTTCTGACATTTGCAAATCTTCAGGACAGAGGATGGAGCCTCTGCTTGTGCCCCGGGATGCAGGCTGGGTCTCTGGGAGGCCCTGCTTGGAGGAAGGGGCTTCCTGTTCGCACCGCCCCTGTACATCCCACTCTTAGTGTTGCTGGGCTGTTCCCATCTCCCCACAGAAGTGGCACAGGGCAGCGAGGGGGCCCATGGCCCGACCCGCGGGGCCCAGTGGCTCAGACCCGGATGTTATACTGGTGACCCACCTGACAGCTATCCTCATGGGAGGCTGCCCCTGAGCTGATTTCTTACCGGGAGATAAGCCTGATGTTTATTACGATATTTTCGGAGAAACTTAGCAGAAGGCTCCGTGCCGCGGGGTGTCCTCCCGGCTGCCAGGACCCTCAGGGGGTGTCCTCGCTGCTCAGCTGAACATGTCGTGACGAGCATGGTGCAGAGATGCACCAAGGTTTTGTTTTAATTTAATAGGTGCTGTGGTTTCTAGTCCCACAAAGAGACAGCTTGACCTTCGTCAATAGCAGATGCCTTTTAAAAGGTACTTGGGTGATTATTCTGATAGAACCTCCGTTGGACCATTTTTATAAAATAAATGACTAAGAGTAAACATCAAAAACATTCATACCTTTTAAAGGAATTTGTCTGAGTCACGGTGATTCAATCTACAGTCTTCGCGGTAGCTGAGCTTCTAGAAGAGTCTTTCCCCGCTCTCTGCAGTGAATTCAGTGGCAAATTGGGAGCCTTACCTGAGCAGTAATTTGACAAGGACGGATTTCTTGTAAGAGCATTGTCTTGCGGTGGGGATTGTTTTCCTAGAGGAAAATAGTTTCACGAAGTATTTCGCGTAGAAAGCTTGCAGGATGTTTCTGAGGACCCGTTATCTTGGTTGGGGTGTCCACATTCCCGTTTATTTCTTCCTGTGTTCTACAATTTTGTCCTTCCCCATGAGGGGGGTGACATGTTCACCCAGTGTCTTTCTGGGCTCCTGACTTCGGAGACCCCTCTGGCATATCTCTGTCATTCCCACCGAGGCAGCTCCCGGAATTGAGCCGTTTGCTTTCAAGCAAACCTGCTACCAGCACATCCTTCCCCCACCCCCGTAGGCCGAGCATCTGGACCACAGCGGCCTCCTTCTGGTCCGTTTCATGTCCTCCCCACCTCCCGAGGTGTCCTGCCTGGGCGGACCCTCTGCAGCCAGGCCCCCTGTGCCCAGGACTCTCCTTGCCTCCTTCCTCAGGGCAGCGCCTGGCACGTGGTGGCTGCTCGGTAAGCGGGTGCTCTGGGGGACTGCGCTCCGGGGGACTGCGCCGCACAGACCCTATTTCTCGCTTACTTGTAGATCCCAGAGTGCCTCTCCGCCTTCAGAACTCTCTTGGTTTTATGATATTTACTAACTGCAGAAACTGAAAATAACACTCAGAAGACCAAATTTCTTCTGATAACATTCTGACTCACTTTGAAAGGATGGTGACCTGGCCCGGGCCTGTGGCAGGACCGTGGCCTTGAAGGGAACATCCAGGAGACCATGTGGCCAGGGACTGGTCCATTAAACAGAATCCCAGCCCCACATAAGACGGACCGTGGTGTCGACCCCCGTCACACCGTTAGGGCACGGCCACACCAGCAGGAGGCGCCAGGGCTCTGCCAGCTGTGGTTCGGGATGACCTGGCGGTTCCTCGTGCTTGTTAGGGGGAACCTGGGGCTCCTGTCCTGGGAGCCGCGCCCTCTGCCCTGAGCTGCATGGGCAGGTGTCTCCCCTGGGGACGTGCGCGTGTGTTCTCTCCATCGCAGCCTCCCGACTGACGTGACAAACCAATCTCTCTTCCTGCCCCCTTAAGGGAAGCCATCAGCCGAGTCTGCGAAGCCGTCCCGGGCGCCAAGGGAGCCTTCAGGAAGAGAAAGGTACTGTCTTCCGTATGGGTCCCCACGCAGTCACACCTGCCTGTCAGTGCCGTTCAAACAACGCGAGCCTGGGGTCCCCTGCCCTGTGGCTGGCAGACCGCTGGCTGTCACTGCTGGCCCAAGTCAGCGCCCGATTGTGCCCCGCCGGCCAGACCAGCAGACGGTGAGGCAAACAGACACATGAGATGGGGCTGGTGCTCCTCGAAGCCTTTATGGCATTAATTCCCTTCCCCTGGTGCTGTGCTGCTCAAGTTAACAAGCGGTTTTCTGGGTTCCGAGTCCTAAGTAGTACGTTTGTGACCTTTGCCAGTTTCCGTAGCATACGTGCTTCCGCCTGGCCCACTTCAGGCTCCAGTGTCACACCCCCAAGGACGCGCAGTGGCACGTCATTGTGCGGAATTTCCACCTGTTCACAGGTGCGGCGGGCACAAAGGGCCTGAGTGGCACAGATGACCATTAATGTAGCGGAAACAGCTTGGAAGGGATGAGTTTTGAGTATTTGGTGTCTGTTTTTTTTTAATGTAATTTATTTAATTGTAAGTTTACGTAAATTAACTTTTCATAGCAGCTGTTTTTAACAACCAGCTCATAGAATTCCTGAAAAATCTAATAATCGTCTCTTACTAGCTGGCACAGCCAGCTCCAGAGCACCACGGAATATCCCCATTTTACAGGTGATAACAACTGAGGCACAGAGATGAGGAGCCAGTGTGGGCAGGGGCTGGGCTGGGCTCAGGAACTGTACATTCAGCCCGGGGCTCACTTTTTCACTCTGGAGATGGTTAGACCGGCCGGGGAGAAAGCGGGTTAAGAGATAAAGCTCAGAAAAAGTCTCTGGTTAGAAGTCTAGCAGGTACAGTTACGGAAGGAAGTAGCCACCGTCAGAACTGTCTGTGCCCTGAAGAGTGTCTCTGATGTCCCTGAATCTGTCCTGGGACTAAGGTTTGCAGGCAGGTGGCCTGCTTGATCCCCTCCCCCCTCATTCTTCCAGTGGGTGGGTTGTGTCATTCTAGCTCTAGCTCAGGGACATCTGAGAAGCTGGGTTTCAGGCAGAGAACTTTGAATCTTGACTCTCACATCAGTCACCAGGAGGGGATCAGAGGACAGAGCGAGGGAGCCCCTCTTTCAGAGCTGGTGAGGGTGGTGGGAACAAGCCTGGGGCCTCCTCCACCTCAGAAATGAGTTAATCAGAATTTCAGGGGCTGGGGCCCAGGCATCTGCATTTGTAAATAGCTCTGTGGGATTAAAAAACAGAGCGTGCCCGGTCAAGAACTAGTGGTAATTAGCATATCAAAGGAGGGGACATTCTAATCTTTTTTTTTCTTAATGTTCTTTCTTTATTTCTGAGAGTAATAGAGAGAGAGAGAGAGAGAGAGAGAGAGAGACAGCGTGAGCTGGGGAGGGTCAGAAAGAGAGGGAGACACAGAATCTGAAGCAGCTCCAGGCTCTGAGCTGTCAGCACAGAGCCCGATGCGGGGCTCGAACCCATGAAAAGTGAGATCATGACCTGAACTGGAGTCAGATGTTTAACCGACTGGGCCCCCAGGCGCCCCGAGGGACATTCTAATCTGAAAGGGAAGGACGGTCGGTGGGCCCTGGTCAGAGACAGGTGTCAGCATTCCTGGGGGCAAGTCTGTGGGGACCTGTGACTACTGCGTGCGAGTGCTGGCCTGGAGGACGTTCCAGCCCGAGGCCCCTCCGCAGTGAGCAGGCTCGGGACGTTTATCCTGTGAGCGGGACCCCTCTCCTCTAGCCCTGACTAGTTGAGCCCCCGAGGGGCTGGAACCGGTGTCTGAGCCTGGCAGCTGTGAGCACTGGCCCGTGGCACCTTCGCAGGCTCGTGACTGACGGGAGCCGCCCGGGGAAGGATGGTGCTGACGCCCCTCAAGGGCCCTCAGCCATGTGCACATATGACGTGTTTGTACCTGCCCATCGTGTGTCCCAGAATTTGTGGGCTCCTGCCTGCCAGCTCCTTCATGGCACAGCCTCCTACACATGGCCAGTGAGAGCGGGAAGTGGGGGGTTGGGGACGCGCAGAAAACAGAGAAGCTGTGACAGTGTGGCCTCCCGCGAACCACAAGCTAAAATCTGGCCGCTTGATTTCACAGCCTCCCAGCAAAATGCTGTCCAGCATCTTGGGCAAGAGGAACCTGCAGTTTGCGGGGATGAGTATCTCCCTGACCATATCCACCGCCAGCCTGAACCTGCGGACGCCCGACTCCAAGCAGGTCTGTAGGCGCCAGGCCCCCGCGCCGCCCAGAGTCCCCGCCGAGGGGGTTCCACAGGGACCCGGCCTTGCTGGGTCCGGGCAGAGCACATTTGTCTAAAATCTCTACTAGCTGGCAAACCTTGGCCCCTTTGAAGGGTCACCAACGGAATGATAGATGGACTTAGTTTTCTTTGTTTCTGCCATAAATTACCTTTTTGCTTTTACAAAAGGATAATGTTAAAGTCATTGACTTACCTGAAGCGTAGAAACAGGTGCCCGTATTTGCCGCGGGCTCCTCCTGATACCCCTCTGTCTCACGCCCTTTAGCCATGTGTCTTTGACTCGGCGGCCCACGTCTTCTTTCCACATTTTATCCGCTTTGAAGTGGATGGCATGTTGCGGTTTAACGAACCACAGTTTGTCTGTCTCAGCAGTTCCTCACCCGGGCCCCTCGCGGTCGACACCGTCCTAGGCCGCGGCACGTGGCCCACGGGAGGGAGGCGCCCGGCGGGGAGGGGGGGTCTGCCGCTCGCTGGCCGAGGCCCCCTGGCGGTGGCGATCGTTGGGGCGGGTCTGTGTGCGGCGCTGGCCTCTCCGCAGGTCTGTCTCAGGTCTCTCGGGCCCCAGTTCTGTCCCCTGGAACAGTGGCGTCTCAGCGGCCGTCCTGGGCACCAACAGGTGAAAACGCTCAGACACGCAAAGGGGCGTGTTCTCTGCGGAGCCCGGGGCTCCGTTGCCACCAGTGTGAGCTGGAAGTCCACACGGGGAGAGCGACGGCCGTCCACACACCTCTGACTCTGCCCGTGTGCCGGGTGCCCGGGTCACCTTTGTGTTGCCGAATATATATTTCTTGATTTCAGTGCTCCCTGGGTCATCCTTCTCCATTCCTTCTCCGTCGCCTGCCTCACAGACAATCCCTGTGTTTTCACGTTGGTCCTTCCGACAGGTGGGGTGACTGACATTCAGGCGGTGGGTTGGGAAAGTTCAGCGGGCTCCGCCTTTCTCTCCAGGCTGAGCACCTGCGGCCCCAGGCTGCAAGGCGGGTCCCTTCGGCCCTGAACCACACGCCCAAATCCACTCTTACACTATGTGGTGTCCGCTGTTATGTTTCTAGGGATCCTGAGACCGTGGTCCTCAATTCTGTGGGTACACGTCCTAATCCCTGCTAATTACACCTCATTCCCCCTTAAGAGAAAAGAAACAAGCTCAGGAAGAGCAGAAGGGATGTGGCCGTGCTGGGGTTGGGGCTGGTTGGCTGTGTCCTCACCTTTGAGGAAGAGGGGTGTGGGGCTGAGCCCAGGAGTCGGGGCAGGGGAGCCGCCCTCCGGGACGGGAGGAGCACAGCCCGGGATGGCGGGCAGGAGCCCCAGCTCACACAGCCCCGCTTCCCGTGGCGGCCTGGCTGTTGTAAATTAGGAGCCATCCTTGCCGGACGCTGCCCTGCCCGTGCAGAGCAGCCGCCAAAGTCCCAGCCGCTCTCCTGCCCGGCGCTCGGTGACCTCTCTCGGTAGAAAACACCTGCTCGAGGTTCACGAGCTCAAAACTGCTTGCTCTCCACTTAACCTCTATCTTTCCTGAGGTCTGAAATACAACGGCACAGTAAGGGTCCTGCGTTGTGACCGGATAGGACTTCTGCTTTCCCCTCAATTATAATAATATCCGCTTCAGTTTCCAGACCCCAGTATGAGGGCTGCCCTGTAAGCAAGAGCTAACTAGGCAGAAATCAACACTTTCTAGAACTTTATCCTCGTGTGGGAATTGCTGGTGCTTTGCTGCCCTCCTGTTAGCCCCCTGTCCTGGGGCTGGGGGCAGGAAGCTTCCAGAAGGCTGCACGCGGCAGCTGGTAGCTGGACCCGGCGGGGTTGGTACAGGCCCCAGGACCGGCCTCCCTGTTTCCACCCATTTATATGCTCAGGTCTTTCTAGATCCCAGGTGGTTTTGCACGTGCCTTTGTGGCATTTTAAAACGTCTGGCTTTCTCCTGGTTCAGACGGTCTTGCTTGAGTGTCACAGGAACATGGTTGGGAAGCCCTCACGGTAGGATTTCACCTCCGAAGCTTCCCACCGCCCGCCGGCGAGGGCCTGCAGGGCTGTGCAGAAAGAAACTGGGTGCTGGTGCGGTGGAGGCGGGGCCCCCGTTTCCACCCCCGGAATTCACTTCAGTGTCATTACATTGTCTCTGAAGTGATAAAAATAGCTTGGGAAACTGATGTGGTTTAAGTTTAGGGCAGCTTCTGATTTACTGTCTACTGAATTCCGCTACCGTTTGTAAAGCTGTTGGAAATTTCTGGGTTTAAAATGGACTTGGAATGACCTCACTGGCCTTTACATCGATAGAACTGATCGCGAGAGTGCCTGGGACAGCCCGTTTCGTCAGCAGGCCTTGTGACCCATATGCCCCCGCACGCCAGCCCTGGGTCAGCACTGAAGACCCCATGTGTCTCTGGAAACAGAAATTGCTTTCCATGTGGGGGTGAGACCCTTTCCTTCTCCCAGGGTCGTTAGGACCCCCTGTGTGGCCCCGGCTCTGCCCACGGCCAGCTGTGGTCCTTCAGCCTCGGGGTCCCCATCTGTGAAATGGGGTGGCCATACCTCCTCCCTCAGGGGCTGTCAGCCCAAGTGAGCTCACAGAGCCGCTGGGGTGTCGGGAAAGCGCACCCACCGTCAGCGAGCATCACGACTTCCATCGCTGTATTTTCGCAGGGTGCCCACTCCGTGGATTCCTAGGAAACCCTGTGGTGTCGCCTGCCTACAAACCAGGGTGTGGGGCGGGCACTAACAGTGTGTCTCCTTTCTCGTTCTGGGCATGCAGATCATCGCGAACCACCACATGCAGTCCATCTCGTTCGCCTCCGGGGGAGACCCGGTAAGTGCCCGGGGCGGCTTTTCCGTGCTCTCGTTGGGGATTTCCGAGGAGGGGCCTTCCTTCCAGGGGACGGGAAAGGTAACTGTGCAAATGTGATGACGGCCGTCCCCTCCTGATTCCATAAGCTCTTCTCAACTACCGTTAGTTCTCATTCCTTTGGCCCAAAGCGGTCAAAAATGCATCAAGTGCTGGCTTCCTGAAGAGTCTGACGACTGCAAGTCCCGCTTCGTTCCTGTTTTCTCTTGGGCTCCACCAGGGCCCTGCGGTTTCAGAGCTTAAGTCTACGCGCAGCCTGTGAGTTTACTTAGTCTGGTTTATTCATAGATGTTTGAAATTGGAATTTTTCTCTCCACATTTAATGTCATAGTCTTACTGGTTTGCTTTGCCAGCAGGGAAGGAGTGCAGGAGGAGAGAGAGAGAGGGAGAAGGGGAAAGCAGAATGGGAATGTTCTATTTTTGCATTGCTTCTTTTATTAAGAAGGTCACAAGGGAGTTCGCTCCCCATATTTGGTCAGGAGCCCTGGGAGATGGTCTCAGTGCTCAGTTGTGGCATCATGAGAGGCAGGACCTACAAACGCCTTGCTCCCCCTCCCCCCTCCCCTCTCCCTCTTCCCCTCCCCTCCTCATCCCCTTCCATCCTCCTCCCCTCCCACCTTCCCCCTCCTCCCCCTCCGTCTCCCCCTCCTCCCCTCCTCTACCTCCCCCTGCCCCTAGCAGAGCCAGACCCAGAGGCACTAACTGCTGCTCACTGTTGCCGGCCAGCCCTTGGAAACAGCTTGCAGGCAGGGCAGGAAACCATCTCGGGGAAGAAGAGCCAGTCCGCCCTCCCAGCAGTGGAGAGGGAGAAAGCACCGGCGCCACGACCGCTATCGTGCCATTTCCCACTGGCCCGGGCCACGTTTTCACCAGTCCAGGGAGATATTTAAAAATTAGGACGACAGAGTGTTTTCTTGGAGCTCAATTTACTCAAAAAGAAAAATTGTTCTATATCCTGGCATGATGTCCTTTTGCTGCTAAATAGTCTTTTATAATAAAGGAATGAGGCTTAGAAGTGGCGTTTTGGTTGTTATTGTTGTTCTGTTATGTAGGCGTCTGCGGGTCCAGGTCTGGCGAGAAGGGAGTGCTTCCCAGGCCCGTGAGGACCTCACATGTCCCCCCTGGCCTGCTCCCTCTACCTGGGGGACCTGCCTGTAGCGCTGCTGCTGGCTCTCATCTTGAAGTTTCTAAAGGCCGGTAGAGTCACGTGTCTCCGCCTGCAGACAGCCCGCACCGCGCCCCCTGCCCACCTCGTGCCATCCCCCGGGGGGCGTCAAGCCCAGCCAGACCCTTGGGCCAAGGGCCCTGGCAGGACAGGGATTGGTTCTGCCCCGACACCCCCGCCTGGTTGGCAGAGGATGGCGGAGCGCCACTGGACCTCCCTCAGCACCTCCACTGACTCACGCTGTCTCCTCTCAGGGCCTAGTTCTCAAACTCTCCCCCGGTGGTGTCCTCTTCTCCTTCCCTCCCCTCCTTTCCTTTCTTTCCAGTCCCTTAATCTCTTACATTTTATCATAAAGCGAAACACCTCATTGAGACATACATGTAGAGAGCAGGAGTGTGCGTCGTCAGGCGCGTCCCAGGCACGTCTACAGATGGTATCTCGAGGGACAGGCGCACCCCCTGTGCGTCCAGCTGCTGGCCCCGTGTGATGCTCGCAGCCGTAGTTTCTGAAGTTTGGGAGGTAACCCAGCTTGCGAGATGAAAGGAAGAAACAGTACATACCCACAGCGACAGAATCTTCCAAGGACTCGTCTCAAACCTCAACTCAATGATGATATGTGTGCACCTACAGACGTAGAAAGTTCTGGAAGCCGAGTACGTGGGCTTGTGTTAAAATTGTTTTGTTCTCCGGGATGTACACAGGTCCACGAGCCTCCAATCTCCTCATCCCCTTGCCATTAAAAAAGATAAAGGAAGCACTCAGTGACCCTTAAAACCCATTCATAACTTTTTTGTATTTTTTTATGATTTGTTTCTGATGTACAAAATGTCACAATACCAGGGGACGGGAAGCCTGCTCACTTTGTATTTTAACCACATCCAAATGCATATTCGCACTGTGCGTGGGTTCCCCCTCCAAACTGGCTTGTAACAATTATATATGGGAAGATGTTTAAATAAAACTAGCAACCCCAGGTTCGATGACTTGTTCTGGTGCTAGGTGTGTAACCTAGCTGTGTAACTCACTGGTTCAGTGAGTGTGTAACTACTCACTGCTCTGTGCTTCAGTGCAGCCAGTAAGAAAATGGTATATTGAAATATCAAGTGAGACAGGCTGAAAAACACTGTTAGTCCACCCCCCCCCCCAGAAAAAAACCAAATGTGCCCTGTAATCTACTGTGATTACCAGTGATCACAGGCCACCGGCAGAGGCCCGGGAGCTGGCCAGGCTCAGAAAGTCTCGGGGCGGGGGGAGGGGAACAGAGGACGGAACCGGAGGAGGACAGGCAACCAGCAGGCCCAGCTCTGGAGCTCGGTGCTCGGCATGGGCCTGGGTGATATCTAGAACAACGCTCTGAGCACCAGCACACCCCCCAGTGTGCCAGAAAATAGTCAACATTGACGTCAGAAGCGCTCTGTCCTGGCTTGGCCCTGGAACCATCTGGGGTCGTCTCTTTCCTGGCCTTCCTTCCCCAGGGCAGCATTCCTCACGCTGGAGTAAGAATTTAAAAAGAAGAGTTTCTTTGCACAGCCTACTAGTGTTGACTCAAATTAATTTTGTTACCTGAATATGCACAGAAATAAGTATACGCTCCTTGGCTTTATACGTCCTACTGAACTGTAAGCCCCCATCCAATTCAAAAGTTTAATACCGATAAACACAGTAAAGCCAAAGACATTTGAAGTGACAGGGATTTACTGGTGGATGGCTTTGCCGACGCCCCCAGATCTCGGCTCTCAGTGTGACTCTGGAATGGCCACCACGGTGCAGGAGAGTGTCTCTACCCCTCAGACGCCGGGGTGACTCAGTCCTTCCGCTAATTTATTCTATTGAAGTAAGCACTTCAGTGATGCATCCTTGTGTACAAATTGACATTAATTGCTTGAGTTGGGACTGAAGCATATGTCCCCACCCTCACTGTCCTCCCTCTCCCATCAGAGGGTTTTCCCCAAGCACACATAGAGAGGGAAGGGGTCGTCCCCTGCCCACGGAGAGTAGTAACGAAGGCAGTCATGACACAGAATCTTCTGGATGCTGAAACACCGGGAGCTCATCTGTAACACTGGAGCCCTTTGAAGCAGTGACACTTGGGAGAAATCTGCAACAGGGGGTGAGCCTTTACCAGTCGCCCCCCCGAGACTTTGCGAATGTTGAAAAATGTCAGCTTTGCAGGGAACGTCTATTCTACTTTCCAGAATGAAGAGAATGATTGGTTCCCCTGCCTGTTTAGAGGCGGCCCAGCCTACATCTGAGGCCAGAGCCTCTCCGTGCATGAATTAGGTGAGGAGGCGACCACGCAGCCTCGGGTCTCACCGGAACAGTCAGACTGCTGCTTGGAGCTCCTCTGTGTGAAACATCCTGAGAGATTAAAATCGCTACTTACTGTGGAGAAGAAGAACCATCACATCCACCCGGAAGGTGTAACCGGCCTTTGAATGTCTGCTTCTGGTCTCCTGGTGGCTGTCAGACCTGCAGCGCCAGCACCAGCTGGAAACTTGGCAGAAATGCACATTTTGGAACCCTGCCTCAGACCCACGGAATCCGGAACCCCAAGGCGGGACCCAGCAGCCTGCCTCCCCACAAAGCCGGCACAGGACTCTGACGCCAGCTCAGATTGACGATGGCTGGTTCAGGCAGAGCTGAGGGCAGCAGTGGTCGCCTTACCTCATAACAGAACCGTCTGGATTGCTTCAAACCTCCCTGGGGCCTCCTAGCCTCCCATCCAGCTGGCACAGATGATCTGGGAGCTGGGACACGGACAGCAGTGTGTGCAGGCTCCTCGGGGGTCCAGCGTGCAGAGAACAGGGTGCCGGTCACTCCACTGCGGCCCAGCGCTAGAGCCACTGGCCCCGTGCTGGCCCCACCGTGTCAGAACCCCCTTTTTACCAGGTCTGGCAATTCCTGGCCATGGTAGTTTGAGAAGTACTGTCTTTCTGGGCTGTTACTTAGGACCGTTAGGTTCCGAGTGGGTTTGTGTGCCGTGCATCTGATCGTGCTGTCTCGCCCGTGATTAGTGACGTGGGTGCCTCATTTTTCTTTGACAGGACACGACGGACTACGTTGCATATGTGGCTAAGGACCCCGTTAATCGCAGAGGTAAGCAATGCTCGACTCTCACAGCCTCTCCCTCATGCGCGGTCGGGCTAACACTGGACACCAGGCCCTCCTCGTCCCGGCCGCTGCGCCAGCACGAGCATGAGTCCCGCCCTGCTGTTGACGGCACCTGCGTTTGCAGGCAGTGAGGGTGGCCGCCTTCTCGGCCGGGGCAGGAGACGCTGGACGGCTGCGGGCCTCAGACACACACCTGCATGCAGGTGGCTGTGGCTTGGAGCACCTGGACCTGCACCTTGCGGCTCCCCATCATGCCCTGAAAGTGGCCTTGGCTACACCTGGGATGCTCCTCGACTGTCCCCCTGCCCTGCCCCAGCCCCACCGCCAACTACGTCACCCCGAGAAGCCTGTGCTGCCCGGCACAGCCCGGGGTCCATGCTCACCTGCCGTCCACCCACACCCCACAAAGCTGCCAGGGCCTCAGATGCAGGCTGGAAATGGGGGATGTGGGGCGTTCATGAACTTTCCCTCCTCACGGGCCCTTTATTCCTAGAGCTCCACACCCACCACTCTGTTCCTTTTATCACGTACAAAACCAAAGCCCCACCATGGGCGCCGAAAGCCTGGGCTGGCAGGCTGACCGCGGGCGCGCTACCCTTTAATACTGATGCGCCTACAGCCCCAACTTAGAGCTCGCTGACGAAGATCGCCGGGGGGGTGTCGATGCTTCTGCCACTAGCCTTCCCTCCCACCTTCCACCCCAGGCCCCAGCTGTTACGATTTTCTAGTTTGCTTTACAGAACTTTCTGTCCACATACGTACACAAATATTCTCTTCTTTTAAAGTATCAGTGCACACGAGACCCCAACACTGTGTCTTGGACACGTTTCCGAGACCGCCCACAGGGAATAGGTTAACTGTTGGCGAGGTGGTGCCACATGGAGAGACTCGTCCCCCCAGTGCACCGCCCCCCCACCCCGGGGGTCCACGCCTTCACCGTTCTCCCCACGATATTGTGCCGCCTGACCTGGAGGCATTTGCAGAGAGGTCAGATGGTTGATGGATCAGGGAACCTTGCAAATCAGCAGCCAGTCTGGCTGTGAAGATTTGCCTTCCCGCCTGAGTGTGTGGGACTGATTCCCCCCTGCCCCAGTGCCTCCTGCCCTGCGCTGGCGCTTGGTGGTGTGGTGGGACTGCCTTCCTTCCTTGAAGTCAGAGACGACGACACCGTACAGTGTTACCCCTTATTCTTGCCAGGTGCATGGGCATCTGGGGGGCGAGGGGGCCCCACAGATGAGGAGCCAAGTCCTGGACTACACGTGCCACATTGTCACCCCGAACCAGAGTTGGGGGCGTTCACACAGTTTTGAGCATAGACGGGAAGGGGGCACGGGTGGCCTTGATGAGCCCAGGACTGTCCCCGAGGCCCCTCGCTAACACACGGAGCCCACCACGTCTTGGCCTTGCAGCGGCTTTCTCGTGATGACTGCAGAGAACCAGGGCTCGGCCGGGTGAGGAGGGCGGGCTGGCAGTTCCACGCACGCCCGACGGCCCTCCGGCGGAGGCGGTTCGATGGGCCGTCCCGGCCCCCGCACCGAACGCCACAGGCCGGTGGCTGAAGACGCCGGAAGCTGCTGTCTCACAGCTCTGGAGGCCGGAGGCCCGAGAGCAGGGCGGGGGCAGGAAGCCTGTAGCGGGCCCTGCGGCCTCCCCAGCCCCTGGCGGCGCGCCGGCCCTCTGGGCGTCCCGGCTTGCGGCCGCGTGGCTCCAGCGCCTTCTTCACGCCGCCTTGTGCCCCGAGCGCGTCTCTGTGCTCACGTGGGCACCTAAGGTCCTCCTAAGGTCTGCGGTTATTGATGATAAAGCCGTGGCGCAGCCTGTGGACGGGGCGCCGACGGGGAAGCCGTGAGCTGGAGAGCTGAGGTGACTTCGACCAGAGCGTTTGCTGTGTGTGGAAGACACGCGGGGCTGGCCCTTCTGAGGGAACACGCTGCCCGCCACCCCCGCCAGCCTGTATGGTGACAGGGGCTGTAGCGCCTTCGGCTCCCGCGGGGCCTTCGTGACGCGGCCCGGGGACGGCTCCTCCCTCGCGTGGGGCCGGCGCTCAGGGTGGGCGGTTCTCCCTAGAGTGACTTCAGCCTTTTTCATAGGTGTGGGGGTGGGGGGACGACGTGGGCACAGGAGCCCCACCCTGAGGCCACCCGCCCTGTAGCAGGAGGGCCAGCTTCCCCCGAAGGGGCCGAACGAAGAACGGCCCCGTTTTGTGGCCCTCACGTTGGCCTTGGGCCATGTTTTAGGTTTCACGTCGTATTTTGAGTCTTGGCGACACGGCGGCTCCGTACGTGCTTCTCCGTGGTCCCTGCTCCCTCTGGCCCCCCCGCGACGCCTCCGCCCCGTCCCTCAGGCTCCGCCCCCGTCCCTCAGGCTCCGCCCCCGTCCCTCAGGCTCCGCCCCCTCCTCGGGGGCGGGCACCGGTGGCGAGGACCTCACGTTCCTGCACATGCGCAGTCACGCCCGTGAGGGGCGAAGGGCATGGGTTTTGGCTGGAGACCGTTGTGAGGAAACAGCAGCCCCGGGACACCCTCTCCCCAGGGTTCGTTTTGGATTCGGTGCAGTTTGGAACAGAGAGGCCCCCGGATGGACCCTCAGACACCAGCCCACAGACCATGTTTTCTCAGGGCACCGAGACTGCAGGGCCCAGAGCCTGGAGCCGCGATTTAATTCTGCGTCTGTGGCGTCTGAGCGCCAGGGCTCGACCCTCGGTGGGACAGGGGGCTTGCTTCTTCCCGCGGCCCTGCCTCTCCCAGACGGCTCGGGACCCAGGCTTCCTGCTCCCTGCGGTGTAGACAGGATGGATCCGGCAGCCCCCTCCTCGCCGCGGCTGCTGCTCCTCGTTCCAGAAGGACGGTGGACACTTCCTGTCTCGCCTCTTCTGCAGGCAGCCCCCCGCTGTGCGGCCCCTGGGTGGGCGTGCACCGCTGCGCCCAGGTGGGGACCAGGTGTCCCTCCCGCCGAGACTCCTGCCGCCTCACTGGCTGGAGACACCACCGCCGGGACCGCTCAGTGCACCGCCCTGCGACCCTGACCGCCGCGCCCCATGGGCTTGCTCTGTGCCTCCCGGCTGATGTTTAATAAAATAAAGTCAATAATCAATAATAAAAACACAGCCGAGCATCTGCCGCTTCGGACAAACCTCTGGCCATCCCCAGCGCCCCCAAGGGCTTGCGCTGCGATCCAGGGCGTCTGCCCTTCTCAGGACACGCTTTTCCCTGGGTCCCCAGTGTGCTCCCCCCGCCCCCGCCCTGGGGGGACAGGGAGCCTGAGGGCCCCGGGGCTGGCCGCTGCCGTCCGCGTGAGCCCCGAGGTGCCCTGCTGGCTTCCTGCGGCGCGAGGGCGGTTTGGTTTGCCTCCCCCTGCTGCCTGCCCCCCACCGAGCCCCTGGAGGGACCCTCCTGAGAAACAGTGACACCCCAGCCATCGGCGAGAGGGAGGTGGCGTGGGACACAGCACTGGTTGTTTTCTCCGGCGAGAGTCACAGGATCGGGCAGCGCGGGTCACAGCGGCAGGCCTGGGGCTCCCCTGGGCGCCGCCCTGGGCCTGGGAGGAGACCTTGTATTTCTCGGGAAGCAGAGTGCGCCCCCTGCCCCCGCGGCCTCTTCTCTGGCGGCTTCACACCTACTGTGCCACAGCCTGGTCACCGGGAGGGCGTGGCCTCGTGGGACCACGAGTGCCCGTGGCAAAGCCTCCGGGAGTTGCTCCAGGCCCCCCAGGACCGCCCCCCCCAGACCCACCCGTGGGGCCACAGGGTGCCCAGCTTTGATCTGCTCTTTAGCACAAGCTGCTCGTCTGAGAACCTGTGTGAACAGCCAGCCCCGCCTTCGAGAAGGTGCCCTGGCCTGGGATGGGGGGTCCCTGTGAATTAGTATCCCTTGAAATTCTTTTTAGGGGGTTTTTACAGTTTCAAGTTGTGGCATTCGGTGAGGCCGCTTGACTCCCACGAGGAAGTGAGTGGACAGCCATGGAGTGGCTGGGGCGTCCCGGCAGGAGCCAGGTTGGGACCGTTGTCCAGGCTCAGGGGGCCGAGGGGGACCCCTTCCTTGTGACCGCCACATTCTTGGTCACATTTCCTTCCAAACCTGTTTCTCTGTTGAGCTCTGAGTTGGCATTTTGTAGACGGTTAAGGAATTGTTAACCGTTTTGGAATTAAATACTTTTAAACGTGTTTGCGAAGAGGACCTTTGGTGTTTGAGAGCAGAGCCGTTAAGAAACGCATCCCCATGGTGACGCTTCAAGGCTGTGGCCCAGGGATCAGGCTGAGGGTGGAGCTGCAGGGACAGCGTGTGGGGGACGCGGAGCGTCTACCTCCGCGAGGCCTCCTGTGTGGGAGCCTGGCGGCCCTGCGTCTCTAACGGGCCCATGCCACTTGCTCTCCCAGCATGCCACATCCTGGAGTGCTGTGACGGGCTGGCCCAGGACGTCATCGGCTCCATCGGACAGGCCTTCGAGCTCCGGTTTAAGCAGTATCTGCAGTGTCCTTCCAAGGTCCCCGCCTTCCACGACCGGTGAGTAGCGCTGTGACACCCTGTGTGTGGGCCTTCCCGAGTTCTGTGGGCTTTCCACTGAGAATCTCTCGAAAGAGAACCACGAAACGGGCTCCGTGAGGCTTGGTCTGGACAGACGTGGTCGGTCATGGGGCTCCAGGCTCGGATGCACCTGGCGGGTCTGGGCCGGGGCTCGGGAGACCCACAGTCAGAAGGAGGCCCACAAATGGGTGGATGAGGCTCTGAATGTTGGGGAAAACATTTTCTAGAAACTCTAGAGATGGTAACCAAGGTCACAAAAATGCACTGTAATATTTTTCCTGCCGTTTCCTCTGCAACCAAATGAGGCTTCCACATGTCACCTCCTTGGATCCACTTCTTGAAGGTTTGATATGTCCCCCATCCTCACTGCCATGTCAGCAGGGTTCTGACTCAGGGCCCCTCCTGGAGGCCCAAAGCTGGGTGGCCTCCTGTGGCCCTGGGCATGCCCACCCCTTAGCCAGGATGATTCTCGCCAGCATTCTCTGTAAAACTGGAACAGCAGTGCCTTGACAGTCATTCTTGCTTTTTTTTTAATTTTTAAAAAAATTTTATTGATTTATTTTGAGAGAGAGAGAATGAAGGAGGGAAAGAGAGAGAGAGAGGGAGACAGAGAGAATCCCAAGCAGGCTCCGCACTGTCAGTTCGAGGCGGGGCTCGAACTCACAAACCGTGAGATCATGACCTGGGCTGAGGTTGGATGCTCAACCACTGAGCCACCCAGAGGGACAGTCACTGTTGTTTTATGTGTTCGATGAAATAGTTAATACAAATACGAATTAAAAAACATTCAAGATCTACCACTGAGTTTCCTTATGACATAAGAATATTTCATGCAGCATAAAATGTTAAAAGAAAGCCATACGGGGACGTTTCAATAGTCTGTCCTTGACTCGACTTGCATCATGAAAGCCTCTTCTAAAGGTGTGTTTACTGTAAACCCACCTTTATTTCTCTGAAATTTGCTTTTTTACTTTTGCTCAAACGTCTGCAGCCACGTTCTGTGATTGACCCATGAAGGCACTTTTATTTTCATTATGCCAAAGGCCTCGTGACAAAGGGCTTCTACCCGTATTTTCTTCTAAGTTTTACCTCTTCCATTCAGGTCTTTAATACATTTTGAGTTAACTTTTGTGTACGGCGTGAGCTGGGGATTCAAGTTTGTTCTTTAGCATGTGGCTGTTCAGTTGCCACAGCACAGCTTGTTGAAAAAACTGTTCTTTCACATGTTGAATTGTCTTGGTTCCTTGCTGAATTCAATTCACTATCAATGTATGCGTTTATTTCTGGAGTCTCAGCTCTGTTCCATTGATTTCTATTCTGTCCTCATACCCTGACCACTTAGTCTTGGAGACTATAGCCTTGTAGTAAGTTTGCAGTTGGGAAGTAGGAGTCCTCCAACTTTGTCCTTTTTCATGTGTCTTTTGTCTCTTCTGGGCCCTTTCTAGTTCCAAATGGATTGTAACATAGCTTGTTTATTTTTACAAAGCAGCAATTGAGATTTTAATAGGGACTGTGTTGAATCTCAGGCTAATTTGAGGAGTATTGTCATCTTAATAATATTACCTCTTCCAATCCATGGACATAAGATGTATTCCATTTATTTACATTATCTTTTGTTTCTTTCAAAAATGTTTGGTAATCTTCCTCACACAAGTCTTGCACTTGTTTTAGTAATTTTTATTACCATAAGAATAAATATTTATTCTTTTTGATGCTATAATAAATGAAATTGTTAATTTTATTCTTGTCTTTTCATTGTTAATGTTTAAAAATGCAATTGATTTTTGCATATTGATCTTGTATCTGACAGAGTTACTGAGCTCATCTAAGAGCTCTAATCGTGTGTGTGTGTGTGTGTGTGTGTGTGTGTGTGTGTATTCCTTAAGATATTCTATATACAAGATATGTCATCTGCAGCAGGTAGAGTTTCACTTCTTCCTTTCTAATCTGAACACTTGTTATATCTTATATAACTTACCTGGCTAGGATCTCCAGTACAAGGGTGGCTAGAAGTAAGAGGGGACGTTCTTTTCGTGTTCCTGATCTCAGGGAGAAAGCACCTCACCTGTCACCATTAACCATGTGGTTAGCTGTGGACTTTTTTGTGAGAGTCCTTCTATTCCAAGTTTGTTGAGTGTCTTTGTCCTGCAAAGATTTTGGGTTTTGTCCAGTGCTTTTTCTGTGTCTATTAAGATAAGTATTTGGTATTTGTTTTTATTCTATTGATATGGTATATTACATCAGTTGATTTTTAAATGTGGAACCCACCTTTTATCCCTGGGATAAATCCCACTTTGTCGTGGTGCATCATTAATTTCATATGTTGCTGGATTTGGTTTGCAAGGATTTTGTTGAGGATTTTTTTTCATCCATTTTCATAAGAGTTATTGGTACCGCAGCTTTCTTTTCTCGTGATATCTTTGGTTTTGGTATCAGGGTAATACTGGCCTCATAGACTGAGTTTGGAAATACTCCTCCCTTTTGTATTTTTTGGAAGACTTGTGAAGAGTTCCTGTTAATTTTCCTTTAGATGTTTGATCTTATTCACCAGGAGGCCATATGATTCTGAACTTTCCTTGGAATGTAACTTTTTAAAATTACTGTTACTAATTCAGTCTCTTTATGGGTCTGTTACAGGTCGATTTAGATTTTCTATTTCTTCTTGAGTAAGTTTTGGCAGTTTGAGTCTTGGTAGGATTTTTTCCATTTCGTCTAGGTCATCTCATTTGTTGGTGCACAATTACTCATAGTTTCTTGCGTATTGTCATTTATGTTTACCTGTGTAGCTAACTTTGCCCTAGTTCTCTGTTTCTTCATGTTGATATATATTTCTGTTTAGTGCTTCATTTCAGCCCGAAGCACCTCCTTTAGTATCTTACTTATAGGGAAGATTTGCTGTTTGATGATTTTTCTTTGGTTTTTATCTGGGAATGTCTTGATTTTCGCCTCATTTCTGAAAGATAGTTTTACTGGCTGTGGAGTTCTTGGTAGGCAGTGTTTCTTTCAGTAGTTGGAATATGCCATCCACTGTCTTCTGGCCTCAGTTATTTCTTCTCTTTTATTGAAGTCAATGTTTTTATTTTCGAGAGAGAGAAAGAGAGTAAGTGGGAGTGGGGGAGGGACAGAGAGATGGGGATGGAAGATCCTAAGAGGGCTCTGTGCTGACAGAAAGAAGCAAGACCGACGTAGGGCTCGAACTTATGAATGTGAGATCATGACCTGGGCCAAAGTAGGACGCTCAACCGACTGAGCCCCCCAGGTGTACCCCTTAAAAAGTTATTAACATTTTAAACACTAGGTTTTTTGGGTTTTTTTTTTTTTTTTTTGGCTTGTGTTAAAAATTACTCCTATCTTTATTTTGATATTCCCTATTTGGTGAGACAATAGTCTTATGTTTATTTTTTTTGTTCATGATTTCCTCTATTCTCATATTTAAAGTAGCTCATTTAAAGCATTTGTATCGTTGGTCCCAAATCTGAGTTTCCTCAGAAAGAGTTTCTATGGGTTTCCTTTTATCTTGCATATGAGCCATGCTTTTTTGTTTCTTTACATATTTCATAATTTTTCACTGAAACTGAAAATTTTAAATAATATCATATGGCAAATCTTGAGAAGCTCCCCTCCTCAGGATTTGTTGTGGGCGGTTGTTTTAATGACCTTCCTAAACGAACGCTGTAAAAATCTATAATCTTTGTCATATACGGCGTGACAGCTCTGCTTGTCCCCTCATTAATCAGCTAATGACTGGGGAGAGATTTCCTTAAATGCTTGGAGTCAGCTGTCTCCCGTCTCCCATATTTGCCGAGGAGCCGTTTGTGGATTGGGGCACAGCTTCAACTCTCAGCCACGCCTTGGACCGCTCTGCCTTACCCTTTATTCCTGTTTATGCCGGCTTCAAGGTCAACCAGACATGAGAACGAAGGCCTTTTCGCATGTTTCCTCGCAGGCACACAACCCAGGACCCAAACACAGCGCTACACAACATGCGGCCTTCTGGATTTCCAGAAATGTGGCGAAGCTTATCCTTATTGAAGTCCCTGTGGGCTTCCCAATGCCCAGCTTTTTCCTTTTAAGCCGTTGACTAGCCTGCTTTTTGTTTCCCACTGGTTTGTTAAGACACCAAATGTCACTCTCTGCCTCGGGGAACCTTGATGTTGAACAATGACCTCTGATTGTTTTGGACAAATGCCTAGGGGGCGGGGAGGGACTCTCCCCTAGGCAAGCTCTGAATCAGGTCCAGTGAAGACAGCCTGGGAACTAGCTCTTTGAGGGGGTGGCCAGACAGGTCGCATGGTGACCATTCTCTGGAAGGGACTTTGAAAGACCTTGGCCGTTTTCCCCCCTCCTGTGGCTGTCAGGCCACTGTTTCCACTGCGCCTGTGGGCTGTTGTTTTTCAAGGCTGCCATGGAGACGGGAACAGGGCAAATGACGGTGCCACAGGCCGCTGCTCTTACAGCTGTTGGCCTTCCAAAACAGACTCCCTAGGTCGCTGCAAGCTTCTGCTTAATTTCCAGGGTTCTCAAAAGTTGATTTTGGGGAAAAAAAAGTTTGTTGCTAGTTTTCTAGTTTGTTTATGGAAGATAGAACGCTCAGGGGTTCTTACTGTCCTCTTCCCCGATGTCATGAAATCTCCATTTTTTTAGTTGATTTTGCTTTGACTTATTGAAATGAATGTCTGTGCCTTGAGGATCTGGTTATCTTCAGATATAAGTTCTTTCCTTCCAAATTCAGCGTACTTTTGAAGAAGGAGTTCTTCCCTGTTTCAGAGATGAGTGGAATTTTCCAGAAGGTAGGACTGCAACCTAAGGTCTGGCCAGACCATTCATCTGCATTTCATAGCTGAGATCTAGATAGTGAAGAGGTGGTGACTAAACTCTCTTTTCTGGGGTAGTAGGTCCTAACGTGAGGTTTGTTGGTTTTGGCGACAAGCTCAACTTTGGGCTAAAGCCCTGGAAAACCCTCTTCTAACAGAATGCAGAGTCTGGACGAGCCTTGGACTGAAGAGGAGGGGGACGGCTCAGAGCACCCATACTACAACAGCATCCCAAGCAAGACGCCTCCTCCGGGGGGCTTCGTGGATGTGCGGCTGCAGCCCAGACCCCACGCACCTGACGTGGCCCAGGTGAGTCACACGCCTCGCCTGGGTCTGGCCCCTTCAGCATTTCCTTCCGTTTTCTTCCGCCGTGACACAGGCTGGCACCCCGTCTGGGCTCTGACAGCGTAACTCGCCAGCTCTCTCCCCGTGGATTACATGCCCCGACACGTACCGGAGGCTTTTGCTCTAACGTCCTAAGGCGTTAATTCTATGTCTCAGAACTAGGCTGATTCCGGAGGTGCGAGTCTGGGGGTCTCCTCTCCATCCAGGGGTGAATCCCATTTTACTGGGAGCTTAATGCGGGAACCGAAAGGGCTCAGGACTTTTAAAAGGCCCCGGAATGCTTTCTTTCCCGAAAAGAAAGTGGGTGTGGCCCCTAAAATGATGAGCATTTTACGAGCCTTCTCTTTTCTTCATTTCCCTGATTTTTCCTCCAACTCCACACCATTCCAGTAAAGCAATTGTTTTTTGGAGTTACCGTATGTCTATTTCGTGACAGAGAATTTTGTGATGTCACCACCTTATGCAAATAATAAGGACGCTGATGGAAGTGGCACAACAACATTGAAATCAAGCGTCCGCAGCTCTGGGGCGGAGAGATGGACGGGGCGGACCGGCGCGGGCCGGGATGCCCGAGGGAGGTGTGTTCCCACACACCTGAGCTTCCCCGGAGGGAGCAGCCTGTGATGTGGCCCCCTGTGTAGGAGAGCTCCGTTTCCCGTCACACTTAGGGAGGGCTGGGGGCGTGTGTCATTTTGATGAGACGCGGCCTCTTCCTCACACCCGTGCAAATGCGTCTCCCAAATCCTCATGCCAACCGCGAGGCGTGAGGGAAAAAGGGGGTGTGATTGGGGATGCGGTGGACCCGCCGTTGGGGTCCCTTCTGCTGGACTGTGGCTTTGGGGGATGGGGAAGGGGGAAGAGAAGCTTTCTCTCTGTGCATTTACACGTGTCTATAGTTTGCAGGAAAAGAGCAGACGTACTACCAGGGGAGACACTTGGGAGAGCCGTTTGGTGAAGACTGGCAGCAAACACCTGTCCGGCAAGGTGAGCACAGGCACAGCGAGGCGGGAGGGAAGGGAGCACGGAGGGAGTGCTCCCCGGCAGGGCCCTCACCGTGGGCTGGAGGCCCACGTCACTGAAGGTGTCTGCCGTGGGCGAGGCGGAGGCTCCTGCCCCGTCCCAGGCACAGGACGGAGGGCTGTCGGACACCACATGTCAGCTGGTGCCTCCCCTTTGTCCCGGCACTTCCTGTTCACATGCCCCCTGGGGACGCCCTTGTGCTTATGGCAGGGGCCAGGAGCTGACCTCCCCGTGGGCCACACCTATTTAAGTGGCAGGTGGCTGGGGCACTCTGAAGCGTGTTTTGTGCTGTCCCTAGGCGCTGTGCCCCACGGCTCCTAACAGGAACTGGCAGCTTTCCGGTCTGTGCCCAGCCCCCACCCACCCCGTCCAGGGTCAGCTTCGGGAGGGGTGGACCCCACACACACCAGATGGCCTGGGGAGTGGCAGAGGCCCTGGGCGCTCTCAGGGGACGCTTCCCCATCACGTCGCATCAACTAACATGTCCCCACTCCCCACGATTCAGATGTGACTGGGAGCTTCCCCCCCCCCCGCCGCTGCCGGCCAGATCAGGAACAGACACCGTAAGGGACTCTGCAGGGCAGAAACGCACCTCAGCGTCCCACATCTCAACGGATTTCAAGTTCTTTGTTGAAAGCAATAAATATCTTTTTCCATCGAATAAGAATATCCTCTGTTAATTTGCTGGCAACCGTTGCCCCTACTGAAAATTAACACGTGGTGACCCCATGGCGCGTGTGTCCCCCTGTCCCCAGCTCCGCACCTGCCAGGGTCTCAGTGGGAAAGAGCTGTTGTAAGGAAAGTTACTCATTGGGCTTTTGATCTTCTCCTTTAAAAAATTAGTTTGTAAAATCTTACAGACTGATTTGCTTGCAGTACACACACACACACACACACACACACACACAAGTGGCAAGGAGCCGCTGCTGAACCAGGACCTGTAACTTGGAGCCTGTGAAACATGTAAGTCACATTCGGGACAGGGGTCGAGACAGCGGTGACTGTGGGGACACGCCCCCCACGATGGACTTTTAACGGGACGCCTGCATCCTCACGCGCGCCGTGCTGCCCCCGCCCGGCGATGGGCTCTGGGGAGGCTTGAGGAGCCCTCTTGTGAGCTGGATGGAGACGCCCATGGGGTGTGAACGGTAACTTCTCTCCAGAGATGGCGCGGCCTGTTTTGACATGAAGGCGGGGAAATCGTCTTGGCCAAACACAACAGTGGTCAGGAGGGGGGATTTAGCCAGTGGGGACCTGCAAGGATTATCTGCCGGACAGCTGTCCGTGTCCGTGTCACGTGTCCGTGAAGCGTCGGGTGGCTTACGGATAGAGGCGCAGACGGCTTCCCGTCACAAGAGAAAAAAGCGCTCGGTTTCCCGTTGCAGGGTCCCTGGACACCTACAGCCTGCCGGAAGGGAGAGCCCACGCGGGCCCCGGAGAAGCCCCCACCTACGTGAATGCCCAGCACATCCCGCTGCAGGCCACGCCGGCCTCGGGCAGCAGCGCAGAGAGCAGCCCGCGAAAAGACCTCTTCGATATGAGTGGGTTTCCTTCTGCCTGTGGTTTTCCTGTGTTCTGAGGGTGTTTTGCGCCATCTGAGGTCTTTGCCGTGACCGTGCTTTCTACTGGCAGGGTTTTGATTAATGGTGCTGTGAATCACTGCCCCAGTTAAGGGGACCCATGTGCTGGCTGGTCAGCACAGTGTGAGGCCCCACCTCACTTTTCTGGGGGATGATTGGGCTTTTCAAGTCTTTGAACTTGGCTGACCTCTGCTTTGGGAAGACAGCTGTCTCTGAAGTCCAAAGGCAAAGCAGTTTCCCCCACTTTTTGGAACTGACTTTCCTCTCGAAGATCTGCACACATCTCGAGATAAATGATACACACGGAGATGTCCTTATTTACTTACTTAAATGTTTTTAAAAACATTTTTAATGTTTTTTATTTATTTCTGAGAGAGAGAGAGAGAGAGAGAGAGAGAGAGACAGCGTGAGCAGGGGAGGGTCAGAGAGAGAGGGAGAAACAGAATCTGAAGCAGACTCCAGGCTCTGAGATGTCAGCACAGAGCTTGACGCAGAGCTCGAACCCATGAACCGTGAGATCATGCCCTGAGCTGAAGTCGGATGCTCAACTGACGGAGCCACCCAGGCGCCCCTGCTTACTTAAATGTTAATCAGCTGATATGTGCTGATACTATATCAGTTACTAAGGATGCCAGTGTGACATGGCACGGTCCCTGTCTGCACAGAGCCCACAGCCTGTTGAAAATGACCAACATATAATCAAGAAATGGCAATATGCCCTCTTGCATGCATACATGCTCTCCCGTATTCTTGTCGGTTGAGCACTTCCTGTGTGTCCATACCATTCTGCTTACTGGGGTCTACAGGACGACAAAGTAGACAGAGTCCCTACTCTCCGGGACTCGAATAACCACTGCACTTTCGCAGGTAGCAACAAGGGCCCTGAAGAGAAACCAGGATGAGGAGTATGACAGGAAGCTGCTTAGCAGTGCAGTGCTGTGCACCGTGGACCTTCTGTTTGCTGTGTGAACTGGGACAATTAAATCATCCGTGAACGGAATAATGAAAGTGGAAGTGCTAAGGCATTTTGAAAGGGCCTCCCGAGTTCACAGAGAGCTTTACATCCCTATGTGGCTTTGTCAGTCCTCTGAGAATGTTATAGGGCAGGAGATTCCTTGAGAATTTAACAATGTCGGCCATGTGCCAGGCACTTCTTGTTTTGTTTAATTTTTGCAACAGTCCTGCAGGTACCTACCATTATTATTTTTACCATTGCCATTATTCTCACGATTTTCCAGAGGAGAAAATAGAGAATCCTAGAGGTTCAGTAACTTTCAAGGCAGCCTTCTGACTCGACATATACTGTTTTGTGCTATCGCGTGTGGGCGAGGACGCAGCGGAGTGCTCCTACGATCGGGCAGCAGCCTGACACCAGAGTCTGTTTCTCCTCAGCCACTTTGGTTTCCCAGACAGTGGGTTCCCATTCTGACCCCATTCTGCATACAAAAGTCACCACAGACAGAACTGTGGGATCTCAGGGCTTAGAGGCACCTTAACAACCAGCTAATCAAATCCCTTCTCTTAAAAACTGTGGAAATAGCCTCAGAAGTATGAAGCGACTTTCCCAAGATGCAGAGCAAAGTAGTAGTGTCCTGATTCTGCTCCCGCTGTGATGGTGTCTGCCAGCTGCAGTTTAGTACTTATATTTGTGGTGACCCAGTTACGGTTTTCACTGTTTTATCTAGTCAATTTACCAGTGGCTCCTGGCCTCAGCACCCAAGGGGAGTTAGATACGGCGAGGGTTTGAGATGCGAAAAATGAGAACCAGAGCCTTCCTTTTGTCATCCATCAATATCTACACCTACTTCTGAAACCAGAAGAGGGAAGATAATAAGAAAGGGCCCTGAAGAGGCTAGTTTCTATTGAAAAGTATGAAAGAAATTAAGCTAGCAGTTGTGCTGTTTATTGTAAACCACTAGCACAAAATAATGATGGTGCCAAAGGTAATGATGGCGATAGTTAATGGTGCTCATTGTGATGCTGATGCTGATGGTGGTGGTGATGGTGATGTTGATGGTGGTGATGGTGGTGGTGGTGGTGGTGATTGTGGTGATGACGAAGGTAATGATGGTGGTGACAATGGTGATGGGCCTGACAGTGATGATGGCAGTGGTGATGGTGCAGAAATGGTATAACACAACTTTTCAACTACTCCAGGTAATCAGGAAAAAAAGGATAAAAACAAAATCTAATTTCAGGCAATAGTTTTAACCTGTTTTTATTCTCAGATCTGTAAATGATTGAACACCACCCTCTTCTAACAGTTGGTCTTACTCTGCAGCATTTGTTGGATCCGTGTAGGGCATGAACTACATCCCAGGAACAGCATTGGACTCTGGGGACGTCGCTGTGCCCAGGAGAGAGCTGTTCTGGTCCTTGTGGCATTTGCACTATGCGGCTTGGCTGCGTGGCCCCACTTACTCATCCTCACTCCTGACACTTGTGTGGCGCTGTGGGCGTCTTCAGCGCTTCTGTACATGTTACCTCATTTTGAGGTTTATTTAGATGCTCCTGGCGACTTCTTGTGCTGCCGCCGTCTGTTCCTGTTAGAGCAGTGGACCTACGGTTCGCTGACCCCGGGGTGGGAGGTGTGTCCTAGAGGGTGTCAGTCACGCTCGATCTCAGATGCACACACAGGGGCCTTATCCCTGGAGAAACGAGTGAAGGCCAAGGGGGGCGGGGGGCTCCTAACCTGGGCCAAGTCACCCAATAAATGTCAACTTTTCTTCTCTTTTAAAAATTTACCTGATGCCAAGGTTTTGAAACAAACATCTGATGGGCTGGGCATAGGTTTTGCACTAAATCTAACTTTGCAGATTATCCCTTCCTCTGTGTATTTCCATGAGCATTGGCAGGTTTCCATTTGGAAGAAAACAGATTTATTGAAAGGCTAGCCGATGTCCCAGAAAAAAGATGGCATGTAATTTGCACGGCCTCTCGCAGCGTGCAGAGGTGCGGTCATTCTGCCGGCTAGACAGAGCGTGTGCTTGAATCCTTGGCGAGAGGCACAGCACCAGCCATCCTGGGAACGCAGACTCGGGAAGGAGTCATGCCAGCGCTGGGCCCTTGCCTCCAAACGCTGCTTAATGTTACCAGCCAGTGGTCTTTCTGTAGGTCTGTCTCTGGTGGAAGTCGCCTCGGCATTTCCGTTGGTCACATTGTGCATTTTATCCTTTGCTCTTCCGGGGGCTGACGTGTTGCTGGCAATTGCTGTTGACAGAGCCTTTTGAAGATGCTCTCAGGACCCAGTCCCTGGGGCCTGTGCTGAGCAAGGCGGCCTCCGTGGAGTGCATCAGCCCCGTCACGCCCAGAGCCCCAGACGCCAAGATGCTGGAGGACCTGGAAGGGGAGCCTTGGTACCAAGGCGAGATGAGCCGGAAGGAGGCCGAGGGGCTGCTCAAGAACGACGGGGACTTCCTGGTGAGGAAGAGTGCCACCAACCCGGGCTCCTTCGTCCTCACGGGCATGCACAACGGCCAGGCCAAGCACCTGTTGCTCGTGGACCCGGAGGGCACGGTGAGCACGGGTGGGACACCACCCGCCTCCTTAGGTCAGTCTCCCCCCCCCGCCCCCCGCTGCCCCCGGCCTCTGGGCTGGGCGACCACGCTTTCCCTCTGCCGCCCGTGCGCACCTGCTGATGTCCTGGCAGCCACTTCTCGGGGACCCGGCCGCCCAGACACACAAGCTCACCCCTGTCTCGCACTTGGAAACCTCACAAGGGCCCAGGGCAAAAGCTTTAACTCTGACGTCCTTTACAACAAATGAGTACAAAAACGGAGAAAGTTTTCTGGTCCAATCCATTCATGGTGGGTAAGGACGTACAGGGTTCCTGGGCTTCTAATACTCATCTCCAGTGTCTCTAAAAGTTCTGAGAGTAGGAGATGTGATGAGGCAGTAAATAGGCCCCCTGTTAATTAGCCTCCCGCTTTCCCACTGGGGACAGTGTGTGTGGCCATTCCTGGCGGTACAATTGTGTCTGACGAACCCTGTGGGTCCGACTGAATTTCCCGCTTTCCAGTTGTCAAATAGACTCCACTTGATCTTGGCGCGGTCCAAGAACTGCTAAGTTGAATAAATATAATTACATTAACTGAACCATTCAATAAGTTCCAAAATTGTTGTTTAAATCCCTTTAGCCGGTGAAAGCAGAGAAGCAGGTAGTTATCCGAACAGTAGCTTAGAACGTGGCCTATCCTGATCGGTGTGTAGGGACGAAGCCTCTGTCTCCAGTTGGATTTGAACGCAGTTTAACAGTGTTTGGTGGGGGAGCGGAGGGTTGTTACATCACACGATCTGCTCTGCCCCTCGGCCCTCCAGATGTCGTCTCTGTGCCCCTCTCCCCTCTCCACCTGGGCAACCCCTCCCTGGGAACATCGTGTGAATCCTTCCAGTCTACCTTCTCCAGTTATGTGGTTTTTCCCACGGAGGTTCGTCAGGGAGAAGATACGCTGTGCGTTTGTGCGTTTTAGAGAGTTGCTAACCTGGTCCTGCCCCTCGAATGGCATGCCCAACTCCGCATGTGTTTTTGAGATCTGTCTATGGTGCCTTCTGTACGCAGGATCGTCGCTTGGGTGGGCAGCCCCCATCCACGGCCACACGTCACTTGTGGAACATTCTCGTGCGGCTGAAGGCACTGTGAAGTCTCCCGCACGCTTACCCTGCGCCCACGGACCGGGGTTTTGGTCACAGGACATGTACACACCTGGTTTTACCAGGGCTGTGCATTTTCTTCCAGAACGGCGGGACTATGAGGGGGCATGGCGGCGGTGCGCCAGGGGTCCCTCACCCTCCTCCTCGACGCTGTCCTCCCCCCGGGACGAGTCCGGGAGTCCCGGGGGGAGAGCCTGTCTCGGTGTCGCCCTCCGACCACGTGCCCATGGGTTCCTCCAGTAACTGTTATGTGCCCACCTCCCCCCTGCTTCTCTTCTGATCGTCTCACCCAGCTCGCCTCCTGAGTTTCTCAGCCACAGAATTTCCACATGAACCCTCCCTTTTTTTCCCACCGAGTTTGATAGTTTTTTTTTATTTTTTTTAATGTTTTTATTTATTTCTAGGAGAGAGAGAGACAGCGTGAGCAGGGGAGGGTCAGAGAGAGAGGGAGACACAGACTCTGAAACAGGCTCCAGGCTCCGAGCTGGCAGTCAGCACAGAGCCCGACACGGGGCTCGAACCCACGAACTGTGAGATCATGACCCAAGCGAAAGTTGGACGCTCAACCAACTAAGCCACCCAAGCGCCCCTCGAGTTTGATCGTTTTGCCTGTGATGTTCTTCACCAAATAGAAGTTTCCCTTTCATGGTTTATGGTCTTGAGTTTTCTTTGTTTTGATTTGAGAGAGAAAGAGAAAGAGAGAGCGATAGAGAGAGCACAGAGAAGAGGGGCATAGGGAGAGAAAGAATCTCAAGCATGTTCCACACTTAGCATGGAGCCTGACACAGGGCTCATACCCTGTGGTGTGGGTCACAGGGCTCACAGGGCCATGTAATCATGACCTGAGCTGAAATCAGGAGTCAGATGTTCAACTGACTAAGCCACCCAGGTGCCCCTGTGGTCTTGAGTTTTAAAAGGTTTCCTCAGGGGGCACCTGAGTAGCTCAGTTGCTGACGCATCTGACTCTTGATTTCAACTCATGTCATGGTCTCTTGGTTTGTGAGTTTGAGCCCTGCATTGGGCTCTGTGCTGTCAGTGGAGAGCCGGCTTGGGCTTCTCTCTCTCTCCCTCTCTCTCTGCCCCTCCTTGCTCACACACTCTCTCTCTCAAAATAAATAAATAAACATTAAAAAAAGTAAAGATAAAAATAAAAGATTTCCTGCCCTGCAGTCACAGATGCACTGTGTTCCTCTATATCTTTTGTGTTTGCTTTGAGAGCCTTATTTTTCAGTATTAGGTTCTAATTCTGACTACAGTTACTTTGACGAAGACTTAAGATAGGGATCCAGCACTCCTTACATCTCCAGGTGATAAGCCGGGCTCTGTCCTGTGGATGTGTCTTGTGTGACGTTCTCTGTGCTGTGTCACCGTATGTTTCTCGAGAGTCTGCCCTGTCCTGTTGAGCGGACTGTTTAGTCCTGATACAAGTACTACGCCGTGTGGTCATTTGGGCTTTGAAACAGTCTTAACATCTGGCGGTGTGAGTCTTTCCTCTTGAAATTCCTATTAGTATTCTCTTTTTAAGCTGTTCTGAGACCATTATCCTCTTTGCTCTGGTTTTAGAGTCAGTGTATCCAGGCACCAAAAATGCACGCTGGGATTTTGGTAGGATTGGTGTTGAGTTTATGGATTAATTTCAGGGAGAGCTGACTGTTTTCAGCATTAAATCATCATGTCCACTAACATGGCATGGGTTTCTACTTACTTAAAGATGTCCTTTGTGAGAATTTAAAAATTCTCTCCAGAAAGTTCTTGTGTTTCCTTTATTTGGTTGCTTCCTAGAGTGTCTGGTTGGAATTTTTGGCGCAAGGGGTACATTATCTTGGCCATGTTTTCTCAACAGTGGCTGCTGCAGGGAGAGGGATGAGATGTGATCTTGTGCCCAGAAATCTCACCGACGGCAGCACTTTCACTGGAATGGTGCTCAGGCTGTCGCACATATTAACAGGGGAGTCTCCTGCCTTCCAGTTTCCAATGCCATGGCGTTCTCTCACCCCACTGGGCTCACCGGGGTCCCCTGGAGCGTTCACCAGGAGAGGGTACCCTTGTCTCGTTCCCGGCATGAAAGTGGATGGTGCAGGCTTTGTGACATGGGCTTTGGTAGATTGTCCTCATTAGCCCAGAGGACTTCATTCCCTGATCCATTCACTCAGACAGCTGTGCACCAAGTGACTGGTAAATCCGGGCCCTTCTTTTAACACCTGGGATATGTCTGTGAGCCAGTTGAAAAGAACAGTATCTGCTTGTGTGGAATTCATACAGATTAGTTAGCTAATTCCTTTAGTCGTGCACAGGTATTGGGTTTTATCAGTCAGCACCACCTGAAATAACATAATAATAAATGTGGAGTATTTTCTGGAGTCTGTTAACATGGGAAGTTACACAGGCAGAAGCGTCCGACACCAAATCCTGGCATGTGCCCTGCTTGGTCCTGACGTCGTCATCTTGAACTGCACTGCTGGCTCAGGCACCTAACACTTCCCTTTGGATGTTTCCGGTTGCTCTTCTCCAGTGAGGTCTGTCTTTGTCCTCTTTGCTGCCTTTTGCTTGCGTGCTGGTCTGGTTTGGGGGCCAAGATCATGGGGTTGGAGTCACCTCTTACAACAAGCTGGAGCTGCTGCAGATCAGAGAAGCCTCTGTGTGTGTCACGTAGAGTCCCCTGGGGAGCCCCAGTTTCTGCTCCCTGACTCCTTGTGACCTTCACACACAGGCACTCATTTACTTGTTAATTTGTTCACTACTGGTTCCCCCCACTGCACTGTGTCCTGTGAGGGCGGTAGCCTTAGTCATGGCGTTAGCCCAGTGCCCAGTATCTGTGCCAGGCACGTAGTAGGTGTTCGACAAGCATGTGAAGGTGCCGATCAGCCTTGGGCTTTTACGGGAGCTGAGGGCCCCAGAGGGCCACGTGGAAGCTAAGGGTCCCCTGCTACCCCAGATGCCGCATCACGGATAAGCTTCTCTAAGAGAAAATAGGAAGGAAAATACCTGAGTGATTCTATGAGAATAGAAAGATTTTGGCTGCAACATTTAGGTGTTGTTAAAGGGAAGTTAATGGTTTAGCTAAATTATGCCACCTCATAGAGCAAAGATGGTTACTGTGTTATATACTCAACCCTTAGAGACAAAGGCTTGACTGATGATTAAGAAACGGCAGGTACTGGGGTATCTGGGTAACTCAGTCGGTTAAGCGTCTGACTCTTGATTTCCATTCAGGTCACAATCTCGCGGTTCGTGGGATCGAGCCCCACATCAGGCTCTGCACTGAGTTTGAAGCCCACTTGGGATTCTCTTACTCTCTCTGCTCCCCGCCCCCGCCCCCCAGTGGAAAGGACACGTAATACTACTGTTAATGTATTATGCATTCCCAAACCGGTATCAGGATGATGTGCAGGGGCACCTGGCTGGCTCTGGTTGTGGAGCACCTGACTCTTCATCTCAGGGTTGTGAGTTCAAGCCCCACCTTGGGTGTAGAGCCTACTTAAAACACATTTGTTTTAAAGATAGTTTGGAAGGTGGGAAGGAATGAAGCTAAAGGAATGTGGTTGAGGCAGGTGTAAGCCATAACCCCAGGCTGGGCTGTCTACAAGACTTCAATTTCTAAGGAGAAATCTGCAGCGCCTCTGAGAAAATCAGTCAGTCACACCTACTAATAAGTGTTCTTTGGGGAGGATTTTTGCTGGATCTGATGATCTAATTTAATTGATCCAATGGAGGAGAGCTTCAGCTGAGAAAGACTTAATTACAAATGTAATGTCACTTCCTTGCTGTTAGGACACCAAAATAGATGATGAACACATTCTCTTCAATATTTATTCATCTGATTTTCATGGTAATTGGTTGGTCCCTGACTATAATGGGGGAAACTT